TGATAATGCTATTTCCCTTTTCCAGGCTTGGGAGGGTCAGAGATGGCGGCGTGGGCTGGGCTCACGACATAACTCTTTGCAAAGAATCTTGTCCTGTGCTCTTTGCTCCGGAGTGAAGCTGCCCTGCGTTCATTAGCTGTGTGAGGGCACCTGCGGCTTTATTTCTGAGCAGCTCCAAGGGCCAGGTGCACGCTCCGTGAAAGCAACTGAACACGTTTCTGTGGGTCTGTGCTCATAACATCGTCGAAAACTTTGGGAGTAACTGGTTTGCTTTCCTTTTCTTGTATTTACTCAGAAACTTTGATGGATACGCGGACGGCGACGGCCGAGCTGGGCTGGACCGCCAACCCTCCTTCGGGGGTAAGTGCCACTCGTCCAGCTGATCCTTATGCGATCTCGTGGGGTTCACACTATTTATCTTAAAACGCTGGTGGGCAGCCGGGGAAGTCGCCGTGACAGCGGCGGTGTCCTGTGGGGCTGGCGTGGGACGCCCAGGGCATCGCTGTGCCGAGCTGCGCGGCTGGTCCAGGGCTGAGCGTCACTTCCCTGAGCTGGTCCCAGGGTCTCGGCGAAGATGGAGCTTTTCTCCATCCCCGCGGTCTTTCCTCCTCTGCCTGTCCTCCTCCCAGGTGAAGGGTCCAGCCCTGTCACCACTCTCCATCCCCCTGCTCGTGCCTTCCCTCTCCCTGTGCCAAAAGACTTGTAATTAGGAAACATTAGCCGGCTCAAAACAGCTTTCATACCTGGAACATCATCCATAATTGCACTCAGCAGTGCTCTTCCCTGGCTATTAATGTCACTTTTATGAAGTAATGAGGAACAAAACACCCTGAGGCACTTAAAACATCTTTTTTATATGATACAAGCCTTTGAGGAATGGAGGCATAAAATAACCTGACTCGCATTCCCCTGGCAGAGAAAGTGAGAGACGTAGTCAGGGGAGAGAGGAGCTGCGGTGGGCGGGGCGGCCGGTGGGGCAGGGCTGGGTACAGCGGGGGGGTCTGTCCCCAGCGCCTCCGGGACGTGCCACCGAAGGAGAAAGGATGCCAGCCCGTGGCTTTGTTACTGTGTGACTGCCTTGGCCAGGTCTTCAAAAGAAACGAGGTTGCACACCGTCACCAAAGCTGAACCACACATGCAGTGGGTGCAAACTCCTCTCCAGGAACATCAGAGGCCCTGGAGTTGTGTTGGAAAAAATCTGGGCCCAAACGAAGTGCTGGCAAAACACAGGGGGGGCCGCGTGCAGGGGAAGGAGATGGGATATAAACAGCTGCCTGCAGCTATCGCTGAAAGCCTGTGCGAGGCAGGTGGGGAGCTCGCGTTGTGAGGCACCGCGGTCTCGCCCTCTGCGGAGCGAAGCCTCTCCCCAGCCCGCATCCCTGCATCCCACTGCGCATCCCGGCTCCTGGTCCCCGGCCCTGCGTCACGCTGCAGGGTGCCCTCAGCCTGTCCGCGTGGTGATCTGGCATTAATACTCTGTCTCTTGCTCCTCTCAGAGTTACTGGGGAGTCTTCTCCTTTACAGGAGCGTGTATTAGATCTTCCACAAAGTATTTTAAAATACAAAGTTTTTTATTTAAAGACACAGTAAGTCCATAGCACGTACTGGGGAGTGTGACTTCCCTTGTGAAGTCCTCTCCCTCATGGACTGGGCTTTTTTCATAGTGCCAGGCACTTTGCTGGGTGGATATGGAGCATCTTAAACAGTATTTGGGACTCCTGGAGCGAACCCCACTGTAGGCGTCGTGTCCCTGCCGAGGCACATTTTGGAGCAGGTTGGATGCCAGTTGAAAATAAGCAATGTCTTCCTCTCACTCCAGGCGTGCAGTAGTCTTCATGAGCTTCCCGGTTACAGCACTGAGTTTTAGGGTTTGTCCCATTTAATAGCTCACAACAAATATTTGAGGGCAGATTTGTGCTGCTTCTTGGCTTGTCTGGTGGTAATGGCCAATATTTGGGTGAGGACCGTCCAAAGTGTGGATGCCAGGGAGGGTTTGGAGTCTATTACCCATCCAAGCAGCCTGGAGCAGAGATGCTCAGATAAACATGGGGATTTCTGCTTGTGTTGGCGTCAATGAAGACCCCAGATTTAGTTGGTCTATTCTTTTTTTTAGTCTTCAGTTCCCAAAAACAGCCACCTAAGGCTGAGCTTACTTCTTTTTCAGCCCAGACTGCTCAAAGATGGGGTAAGGAATCAAAAGCTTCCATTCTGCCCGGCCTTTCTCCATTCAAAAAATGATAGTGTGTCAGCAGCCTTGCTTTGGGGCTTAGTAACAAGCTGTAGCATTGCAGGAGCAAGTGAAGAAGAGAGGAACCAGAGAGAGAAGCAAAGAAACAAGAGGGAGAAGAGCAGCAGCCATCTATGAACAGGACCTTCCTGCTCCGTTGGGCAGGAGGGAGGACATGGGAGGAGGGGACGGGGGCTCCTGGGTGCTGCTGGGGCTTCAACTCCTTATCATTTCTCTTGAGGCTGGAGGTACGGGGATTTGATGAGCCACCTCTCCTGATGCCGGGGTCACTGTCGGCGTGGGCTCTGCTGCAGGCCATGGGTCCCTATGGGTGGTGGCATCCCACCGTGGCATGCTCGGCTCCGAGGGTGACCAGTCACCCTGGCTCACAGAGGCCTCCCAGGGCTTGGGGGGGCTGTCGACCTTCATGCCGGGGCACGGGTGCCAGCTGGGCATCAGGGCTGTGGTCCCCGGGAACTGGCTGCGGCAGGACATGGGCTGTCCTCCCGCTCTCCCTGATGGAGGTGCTTTAAATCTCAGTGGGGACAGAGAAGAGTGTTGTCTTAATCCCCAGTGGGATCTCGTCAAAATGATGCATTTGTTGCTGTCAGAGCGTTGGTGGCAGCAGCTGCTGGCACCGTGGGTCTTTCCAGCCACGGGGACCTGCTGCTCTTCAGTGCTCAACCCAAGGGACGCCCAAGGGAGCATCGGGATGCAGCCCGACATCCTCACCAGAGCTTTCCAGGTGGCATTTCATGTTGTTCTCAGCCGCGGGCAGCCCTGTGCGCTGGGTGCATGAGGCACGGCAGAGTCTGCTGCTTTTGGCTCTGAGTTTTGAGGCTCTGCTTGGAAGCCCCTCCCTAAAAAAGCAGCAAAGCCCAGGGAATGCTTGGTGGAAGGAGCTGTTGAGAGAACCGGCTCCATGATGGGCACCATGAATAAAAGGATAGCGGGTCAGGTCCCCTCCTGAGCACCCGGCTGGGGCGCAGGAGCTGGCAGGCGGGATGAAGAGGAAGATTCCTGCAGCCAAGACAGTGGAGCAGTGGGGCCGGTCTTACGCTGGCGGGCGAGTGCTGGAAGAGAGCTTGTTGTCTGGCATTAATGGCTGCAAAGCAAAGCCCAGGTGGGAACGGGAAGCAATGCCAGCCCCTCGGTCGGGGAGGACTTGCATCTTTCTCATGTGAAAAGGTGTCTGGTAATGAAAGGGCGTTGAGTCCACGCATCTTGTCCGGGGTGGAGAGGGGTTTTTGCAGCGCTTTCACAGTGTGGGATGAGAAGGGAGAGCGCTTGGTTGGATGGGTGAGGTTCTGTTGCTGGTTTGGTAAACATTGCTTGTCAACGATGCGCAGCCTTGAGCTGTGATCTTTGCTTAAGCTTAGCGGAGCCGAGTAGGTAGACCTGGGCGCAAACATTCTGCTGCGCTTGTGGGCAGCGTGTAGAGGACCCTGCTTTGAAAACAAAATAAAAACCTGTGTTTTTTTTTTTTTACATCATGGCTGTGGTTTAAAAGGGGGAGGCTTGAGGAGGAGGCGAGGAAAGTGGTTGTTCAATGGAAGAGGGCTTGTTCAGTGGAGGAGGGCAAAATCTGTAAGGTTGGCGGCTTGGTGGCGGTGCGTCCGCTCTTCGGGAAGGCTCAACGCTGCGGGGCAGGTCGGTGTCCCCCGGCTGCCGTTGTGCCTCCACGTAAGCACAAACATGCGCGAGTGCTGCTGTAGCATTGCTCCTGGAAATTATGCATGATATTCAGAGTGCTGCTTAAAGATTGCCGTATGAATAATGCTGTTATGAGGAGACTGTAAACATGGATTAGTTAAAATGAATGGATTATGAGGTTGTAAATCTGTCTGTAGGACTCTAATGCCATCATAGACTATTCACAGTTTGCCGCTGTCCCTTAATTGAAATTGTAGCCTGGATTATATTAATGCCCTTCTATAAATCGAATTGCAAATCTATATTCTCTCTCTCCACGGCGGTAATGTTTTATTTAGTTAGTTTTCCTTGCCAGGGGAAATGATCCTGTCGTGCCGGGAGCCTGGGGTCAGGCTTGCTCTCCAGCCCACGTGCTGGCTTGGGCTTTAATGAAGCCGTAGCCTCGTGTGCTACTTTTCCTCCTGCCCCTGGGTGCCTGGACCATCTTTCTTCCTGTTTTTACATCCTCCGAGGGTAGCCAAGGTTGGAAAAGATGTTTTAGCCTGGGGAGAGGGAGCAGGCATGCGTGGGCAGGGGCAAGAGGGTGAGGATTTGTTCTGGTGCTGGCTGGGGTGGTGGTTCTGCACGTGCATCACATCATCTGTCCACGACCATGTTCCTGGTCCCCTCTGGGGCTTTGGGGTCCTCGTTTCAGCCTAACCCTGCCCTGTGCAGGGTGAGTGGCACCTCCCTGGCTCATGAGCCACCGCGGGTCCCTCTCCCTCCCTCTCATGGCCTTTCTTCTTTCTGCAGTGGGAAGAAGTCAGTGGCTACGACGAAAACCTCAACACCATCCGTACGTACCAGGTGTGCAATGTCTTCGAGCCCAACCAGAACAACTGGCTCCTCACCACGTTCATCAACCGGCGTGGAGCTCACCGCATCTACACCGAGATGCGCTTCACTGTGCGGGACTGCAGCAGCCTCCCCAATGTCCCAGGCTCCTGCAAGGAGACCTTCAACCTCTATTACTACGAGACAGACTCTGTCATTGCCACCAAGAAGTCCGCCTTCTGGACGGAGGCACCCTACCTCAAAGTGGACACCATTGCTGCTGACGAGAGCTTCTCCCAGGTGGACTTTGGTGGCAGGTTGATGAAGGTGAACACAGAAGTGAGAAGTTTTGGGCCCCTTACTCGCAATGGCTTTTACCTGGCTTTCCAGGACTACGGGGCTTGCATGTCTCTGCTGTCCGTCAGGGTCTTCTTCAAGAAGTGCCCCAGTGTGGTGCAGAACTTCGCCATCTTCCCGGAGACGATGACGGGAGCGGAGAGCACCTCTCTAGTGACTGCCCGCGGCACCTGCATCCCCAACGCTGAGGAGGTGGACGTGCCCATCAAACTGTACTGCAACGGGGACGGGGAGTGGATGGTCCCCATCGGCCGCTGTACGTGCAAGGCTGGTTACGAGCCGGAGAACAATGTGGCTTGCAAAGGTAAGGTTGGCCTTGCATAACAAGGCTTTTTTATTGTTTTTAGGCTTTGCTTAACAAAATATTTGTCCTCAAACAAGCTGTTTTGGGAAATACCTGGTTTGAAGTTGGCTTTGCACCATTTACGTGCCCTGAAGCTGTTTTGCTCATGGGACCAGGCAGGAATTGGGGAGCAGTGGTCAACCCGTGGCTTCTCGGTGCACTCCGGCAAGTGGCCAAAGTCAGTGAGCGGCGTGGCGAGGACGTGGGTGCCGGTGCAGCCCTGCCACGAGCCCGCTGGAAGCTGCCTCTGTGATCTGATGCCTTCAAAGTACCGCGCGGGCTGGCGCTGGTCGGCTGGGTCGCCT